GAGCAGGGCCAGCCTCAGAGATCCATGGCTATGCCGGGCTTCTGGGCCTTTCTTCGTCACGAGCCCCAAAACCCTAAACCTAGGGTTTAGGGTTTAGGGGTTTAGGGTTTAGGGCTTAGGGGCTTTGGGTTTAGGGGTTTAGGGTTTAGGGTTTAGGCGGCTTGCTTATGTGCTTTCTTGGGGTCCTAGAAAATCTAAAAGCCTAGGCACACAGGCCACGACGCCCTGAATCCTAAACCTAAATCCTAGATCCTAATCCCTGTGCCCTAAAGAGCCCGCTGTAGTCTGACGTGGATTTTGCTGTCCCCCAGTCTAGGACATTTTCAGGTGGGTAGTTACCGTTACAGGAGCCTTATAGAAGGTCTATATACCCTAACCCTAAACCCGAAACACCCCAAACCCCAAACCCTAAACCCTAAACCCTAAACCCTAAACCCCACCTGTAGTTTCTTCTAACCCAGGCCTCGGTGGCCTATGCCTCGTCAGCCTCGCGCAGCAGGGCACCCAGGTTAGCCTCAGGACTCTGCCCAGCTACGGCTTGGGGTTTGGGGGCTTGGTAGTGGGTTCAGGGTTTAGGGTTCAGGGTTTAGGGTTTAGGGGCTTGGTAGTGGGTTCAGGGTTTAGGGTTTGGGGGCTTGGTATTGGGTTCAGGGTTTAGGGTTTAGGGGCTTGGTATTGGGTGATCCAAACAACATGTCGAAATCAGTACCAGGCTGCTGGGATGACGGCCGCTGTGGATGCAAGTTTTCGATGGGGTGGACGACTGTCACGTGCCCTAAACCCTAAACCCTAAACCCTAAACCCAAAACCCTAAACCCCTACAAACCGACTGAGGCCAGAACCCGCTGGTCAACGGCAGAGCCCAGAGCGCGCCGTCGAAAGTCCCGGTGCCAGGGCCTTGGTCAAAGCGCGCTTTGGATCGGGTCTGTGGGTTGGGGGGCCTTCGGGTTTTAAGGTTTAAAGGGTCAGGGATAGGGCTGAGTTAAGGCTTAGGTCAGGCTTGAGGTAGCAAGCTCGTAAAACTGCGGGATAGTCGGAGTCTTTTTGGGCTGTAGAATTTGTGTTTTTCGGTTTGCGGGTTGGCTTAGTTCGGCGATGCCTTTTGCTTCAGTGAGAAGGCAGGAAGCTATGGGTAGAACAAGCACTCCGAAGCCCTGACCCTGAAATCCTTCCTGATTCCTATAAATTTCTCAAAAGATCCGTCGGGACTAAATGAGGCCCTTAGTAGACCCCAAGCCCGAAGTCCCGAACTCGCAACCCCAAGCCCGGAACCATAACCACGGTACGATGTCAAACCTGAATCCAAAACAGGATCATGGGACTTAGTAACTAGGGCTATGAATCGGGAAACTATACTTATAACCCCAATTAGGGGACTTATAACCTTACTTACTAAGTTCCATGATCCTCTAAGTACCGTCTCCCAAGCTGCAGAGGACCTACCTCACCTCGCCGCAGAGGCGCCGTTTTTCAGCAGACACCTGCAGGTTGTTTGAGACTCTACGGCAGGCGACGAAGGGTGTTTGGCAGCGAGTCTTAGTTTCGGCTGTTCGGGTGTTTTAGGGTTTAAGGTTTAGGGTTTAGGGTTAACTCGAAATCCCAAACTCCCGAAACCCCACTGCAGAGCCCTCACGGTGCCCGGTAACCCTTACAGCACTCTTTATTTTTTGAAATAAAGGAACCCTTAAAGCAACCCTTGAAGGAGCCCTAAGGGAACCCTTAAAGGAGTCCTAAAAAAAGCATCCCTTGAAGGAACCGAGCCCCCCCCCTGGGTGAGGCCTAAACCCTAAACACCCTAAACCCTAAACCCTAAACCCTAAACCCCCCCCTGGGTGAGGCGCCTCGAGGATGCTTACAACAATCTGCCCTCCACCTCCGAGGATCCGGGCTCTTGAACTCCTTCGGTTTAGGGTTTGGGGTGTTTAGGG